GTACTGCATGCTAACTCTGCTCACTGCCAGGAGTTCGATCCTGACCAGCTCAAGGTTGACTCATCCTTCCATCCTTCTGAAAGGATGAGGTAAAATGAGGACCCAAATTATTGGGGGCAGCAATATGCTAACTCTGTAAACCCCTTAGAGAGGGCTGTAAAGCACTGTGAAGTGGCCTATAAATCTAAGTGTTATTGCTAAATGCTATGTTTAAGACTAGCTTTGAGCTTTGTCTTGTTTTATTATTGCTTTAAATAAAAATTGAAGAAAGGAATAAAACAAATAATATTATGAAGAAAAAAATAGTAGAGAAAACAGGGAGGTTGATAGGGACCAAAGATTCAAACTCCATTTCTACATTAGGTATGCAGATACTAAATTGTAACGTTTAAATTTAAGACATTCTTTGAACCTGTGATATCAGCCATGGTTCAGGACGTAGCAACATGTGTCAATCCTGCCAGATGTAGCTTAGTCAACTGGTCAGTGACTTAGAACTGGGTATGAAGCAATTAAATTCACGGCTGACGTTTTTTGGTTTCTTTTTTTTTTTAAAGACGTTCTATTTTGTCACCAAGCTGCGTATATTAATTGGGAAACTGTTGGGGCACTGAAGGTTTTCTCAAGTGTGCATAAAGTCTCACTAGATGAAACACGTTGCTCTAAGCTGTATGAGTTTTAGATCCCAAAGCACATGTCAGTAACTGCTAATGGCAATAAAAAACATGAGCATTTAGTTGTTTTCAATTTTACGTTGATTTTACTGGGCTGAATTTCATTGTATGGAAGGCAACCTTTGGTCATGTACCTTCTACATGTTAGTGGTCTGTCTGTGGGCATTTCCATGAGGAGAACTAGGCTAAAGATCCTTAATATAGGAGGATAACTTTGAGGGGAATGTTTCTCAAAATCTCAAAGATTATGAAGTTATATTCCCCATAGTATCAAAGACGACTTGTAAGAGGGAGAATCAAGTGCTATTTTTGAGATAGAAATTATTTGTCTTTTGAATATCTCCCTTACTGAGTTTTCTCTGTCAAGTTACTGTTTCAACTCTGTCATTTTTAGAGTAGATGGTTCTTCACTCAACGAAGCCTATGTTGAATGACTCTCGCCTAATTGGTAGGGATTATTTTTGAGATATAAATTGTTGTTTGAATATCTCTAATACTGAGTATTCTCCGTCAGCTTGCTACAGCTATTTGAAGCTATTGCTTCAACTCAGTCATTTCTAGAGTAGATGGTCTTCACTCAACCAAGTTCTGTTGAATGACTCTCACATAATGGGAAGGGATGCAACTTTCAGTGGTTGCAAGCGAAGAAGCAGTGCCAGATTCAGACTTGTTCCGCTGAAGTTATTTCCAGCCATTCTCAGCTTTACTGCTTTACCAACCAGATATCCTCACTTGGTGTCTGCTTGGGTTGTTCTTCTGAGTAACTACGGCTTTGGAGACTTGGGAATGCTAGTGGGAAAAAAATGGTGCGCAAGAATCAAGATAGAGTAGATGTTAAAGCAGTCCAATGCCATGCTATGTTGATTTGAAATGAAGCCCATGAAATTTCATGAGGTTCCTTTCTTGCTAAGCACGCTTCGAAGAAGCACGGCAGCTTTAGACCGGTCAGTTGCAACACGGGTGACTACCCCGTGTTGTTGTGTTTTTTTCCCCGTTTCTGAATGCATGCCAGGAAAGCCAATAAGTCTGGCCTGAGGGGCTACAGTCAGAGCTGTAGGTATGTGTTCAACTTCTGATGGGCCTTGCCTTCTGCCCAGAGAAAGAGAGAGAGAGAGAGAGAGCAATCCTACATACCATTTTACTTGTATTTGCATGTATTACCCAGGGGACTCAGAGCTTTTCCTCGTGAGCAGAATTGCAACAGCTGTCATCTTTTCTTTTTTTTTTTATCCTTGCCATCTTCAGCTATCCTGATATTAACTGTGTGATTGCTGTTTTTACCATGTGTTTAAATATATACCGTGTTTCCCCGAAAATAAGACCAGGTCTTATATTAATTTTTGCTCCAAAAGACGCATTAGGGCTTATTTTCTGGTTAGGTCTTATTTTGGGGGATATACGGTACTAAATGCATCCATCTGGCTGACAGTCTTAACTGGGGCTTATTTGGGGGGTAGGGCTTATATTACGAGCATCCTGAAAAATCATGCTAGGACTTATTTTCCCATTGGGTCTTATTTTTGGGGAAACAGGATGGATGGATGGATGGATGGATGGATGGATGGATGGATAGATAGATAGATAGATAGATAGATAGATAGATAGATAGATAGATAGATAGATAGATGATAGACAGATAGATAATTATATATATATATATAATGTTGCCTTCCTCCTCTAAAGCCAAAGTGGGATGAAGGCAACAGGCTAGAAACCAGCAGACCATGAGTTCTGGTCTCATCTTTTTGTGGGGAGGGGGCTAGTCATCCTAGGTCAGACCTAGGAAGAAGTGGGCCAGGACAAATTACATCTGAAATCAAGAAAACTGCAGGGACTCAACATTGACCTGAAAGATCCCCCCCCCCCCGATCCCCAAAATATAGGAAGTGGTGTTGGTGATTGTTATAGAAGGGCAGGCAGTTGTTTATGAAGTAGGTGACTGAGTCACGGTGGCGCAGGGGTTAGAGTGCAGTACTGCAGGCTACTTCTGCTGACTGCCGGCTGCCTGCAATTTGGCAGTTTGAATCTCACCAGGCTCAAGGTTGACTCAGCTTTCCATCCTTCCGAGGTGGGTAAAATGAGGACCCAGATTGCTGGGAGCAAGAGGCTGACTCTGTAAACCGCTTAGAGAGGGCTATAAAGTACTGTAAAGCAGTATATAAATCTAACTGCTATTGCAGATTAACACTACCCACTGCCAGGAGTTTGATCCTGACTGGCTCAAGGTTGACTCAGCCTTCCATTCTTCTGAGGTGGGTAAAACGAGGAGCCAGATTGTTGGCAGCAAGAGGCTGATTCTGTAAACCGCTTAGAGAAGGCTGTCAAGCACTGTGAAGCGGTATATAAGTCTAAGTGCTATTGCTATTGCTGTAACGGATCATTTTTGTAATCCCCATGCAAATAGGAGTGGGATCCTAAACAAAGTGTAGTCCTGAGGTCAGCTCCTTTTTTGGAGGGCTAATTTGACCAGAACAAGACCAAAAATAATAATAAGGTGGGCAGAATAAAGAGATGGGCCTCAACCCTTCCATTGGCCCAAAGTTGGAAGATTCAGGCATTACCTTGAACCTCCTGAAGAAAATCTAGGAGTTTCCAGATCATGACTTGGAAAAAAACAGACTGAGATGGATTGAAGGGAGAATTCCTGCCCTTCCCTCAAGCCATCTTTAGGCTGACATTAACCTCTTCATTGTCTGAGGGTTGCAATTCCCAGGCCTTACCTGCCAACCTGATCTGTAGCTGAGCTATAGGGGAATGTTAAAAATTGCAGTCCCATCCAATACGGATATGAAAGCTTCTTTGAGGAGAAGCTTGCCCTAAAATGCTTTTTTCCCCTTAAATTTAATGTTTACGTATATGCTCCTATAATGAATATTATTTGTAAGGGGGTGTTGCATAATTCATAGTTGCCATGAGCTACTTATTTTGAATCCCTTTACCAGCAACAACAATCAGGATTCCTTCTTGACCTTGGAAAGTTCAGGGAGGTTCATGACACATTTTTGGAGGGCGGGGGAATCTTAAGTTTACAACAATGAAAACAATGCTACTGATATACAGTATAGCATCTCCAAACTGCATTTTAACTCATTCCAATGAAGCTGATGTTTTTTCTTGAAATTCCACCTTCCTCTAATTGTAGATAGTATCATCACCTCATCTTGGCTCTTTATAGGAAACTTTCTTTGCAGGACATTGGTTTTAACGTTAGATTTTTTTAACTTTCTTGATTGAAAGAGTCATTTAAGAAGAATTGAGGGAGCCACCTTGTCTTGGATGCTGTGGTTTTAAGAGCATGCAGGGGGAAAGTCAAAGTAGCCTTTCTTCTTCCTGGCGCTAACCTCAAAAGTTTTACATTTGCAGAACCTACCTTCCTGCAGAGCTCAGTTCTCATCTCAAAGTAGAACAATCTCGTCTAGAAGTTCATAAAATCTGGTGATAGAACTCATGGTTTGAACTCGCAGGTTGTTTCTCGAGGGTTGGGAAAAATTACTGCTTGAAACCCTGGATGTCTGCTGCTGCCACATAATTCCGAGCTACAGTTCTGACTCAGGATAAAATAACGTATGATGTTCCTACATATTGATGCCCTAGGTCAGAGGTCTGCAACCTTAAATACTCAAAGAGCCATTTGGACCCATTTCCCACAAAAAAGAAAACACCGGGAGCCACAAAACCTGGGTGGGCGTGGCCAACTCGATGTCACTCACTTCCACCAGTCACATGATCCCCTTAGCCACGCCTACCCAGCCGGTCATTAGGGCAGAGAACCCGTTGTTAAAAAACACCAAACCGCAAAATCCTTTTGACATCTCTTTCTCTCCCCTCCCTCCCTCCCTTCCTCCCTCCCTCTCTCCCCCCTCTCCCTCTCTCTCTGTATCTCTCTCTGTCTCTCTCTCTCTCCCCCTCTCTCTGTATCTCCCTGTCTCTGCCCTGGCCGCTTCTCCATCCCCCACCGTCGCCCTTACTTTCTCAGGCCAGGCGAGGAATGACTGGGAGGGGAGGGCGAAGGGTGGGGCCAGCCAGTGGTGGGATCACCTGACAGGGAGGCACAGCAGAGGGCCCAAAGAGCCGCATGCGGCTCCAGAGCCGCAGGTTGCTGACCCCTGGCCTAGGTGACGTGGACTGGTTCAAAGCAATGGAAGCATTGCCCCTAGGTATCTGCACTCTACAGTCAATGACTCACAGTTGACTTGGTGAACATTAAGTTGAAGGACTCAACCGCTTGCATCTTTGGCATATGGGAGCATCATTTTTACACACACACACACAGCATTTTATGTTATGAATATTTTATGTCCTTGCACTTCCTTTTTTTTTTTTTAGGAGAAAGAGAAAGAGAAAGAGAAACTGAAGGAACGGGATAAAGACTCCAAGGAAAAAGATAAAGATAACAAGATACTAAATGGCCATCTCTTCAGTGCCATCTCAACTGTGGGGCCCGTCAGTTGCTACCACTGTCTCAAGCCCTTCAACAAAGATTCATTCGTCTGTGCAAGTGAGTAACTCCCCCCCCCACTTTGTGCACCGGAATGAATAGGTAATAGAATACATTTCTGAAAATAATTATGTGCATAACATTACCATCACTGCTTGCCCTTTTGATGCCAGGAGAGATGACCATGGTAAGAGAATCTGGAACAATGGCTGACCACTTTGAATTGATCTATTTCCACGTATTGTACTGGGGGCAGCGGTGGGTTTCAGCAGGTTCTGACCAGTTCTGGAAAACCGGTAGCAGAAATTTTGAGTAGTTCGGAGAACCGGTAGTAAAAATTCTGACTGGCCCCTCCCCCATCTATTCTCTGCCTCTTGAGTCCCAGCTGATTGGGATGAAATGGGGATTTTGGAGTAACCTTCCCCTGGAGTGGGGAGGAAATGGAGATTTTACAGTATCCTTCCCCTGCCACGCCCACCAAGCCATGCCACGTCCACCAAGCCACGCCCACAGAACCGGTAGTAAACATTTTTGAAACCCACCACTGATTGGGAGGGTCTCTTGTTTTCTCCTTGCAAGTTTAGCAACTTATGGAAATTCCTCATCCTGATAAACATGGGGAATAGAGTTCAGAATCGCTGGTCAGGGATGATGGGAGTTGTGGTCCAAGACATCTGGAGGACTTCCGCTTCATGATCTTGGCTCTATATCATTCTCTGAGTTACTGTAGGTTAGGTCAAAAGATGATGGTTGCTCCAAGGTCATTTAGTGAGAATCTGAATTGGTTTAGCTTAGTACTTCTGATGATTTTACTATACTATCTGATCCTAATTAAGTGGGGTTTTACATAAACCTAGGATTTGGAATCATTGAATTCAAGTCTCTACTACCACTGAAGACCTCAGCCTCCTCCTTTGCAAGCCTAGATACATTTCTAAATCCTTGTTGTAAAACTGCAAGGTCTACTCTAGGGAGATGCCAGCAATCGATACCAAAGTAGAAGCTGCCATCTTAATTTTCCCAGAACGCTTTTGGGCCCTGCTGTGTGATCCTCTCATTAGGTTAATGAATATCACATTAAATTTAGCTTCTGTCAGTTTTCATCCAAGGTTTACATTTATATCCTTCTCTTGGTTTTCTTACTGCAGTTTGACCAAGCGGGTTAGTTAATTTGATTTCTGAAACGTAGTCTTCATTTTTAGTGCTTTTGCTTTGGTTTGGAAATTTAATCCATTAATGGATACATTTGTACAATCAGACAGTGTTCGGTTTCTTTCAGAATATATTTTGGCGATAATTTTTTTCAAAAAACCCCCCACTAAACTACCTGAAAGTGAAAAATATGCCAAAAATGTTTTTCTATTCCATTCATGTTCTAGTAAAATACACTTGGTTTTACTATTGTTGTTGTTACTGCCAGTAATACATTTCTCTGGTTGTTTTCTGGGCCAAATCAGTGTAGGCAGGAAGGATGGAGGAAGTTCCTTGTACAATTCTCTTAAAAGAATTCTGACCTTTCCTGGTTATTAACAGAACTTTTCAGTTGAATTCTGAAAAAAGAATCTCTCTCTATATTCTGTTTAAGCAGCGATATGTGACTGTATGTGAGTTGTGTTTCTGGATAATTGGTAATGACTCAATGAAGTATTTCCCCTCATATGTTGCCACTTCAGGTTTAGAAAACTGAAACCAAATCATGTTACCTTCAAGGAGAAATTCCTGCTTTGGGAACCTGAACTTGCCAGTTGACTAGTATTGACTAAGGTGAAAATAAGAGTGAGAGTTAAAGGTCAACCTATCACACGTTTTCCTCTTGCCCAACCACACAACCATAGGAAGAATCCAGAGCAATTTTATTTTCCCTTGAAAGGAGTACACCCTTGATGGGGTTGGACAGTATTGCAATCTTACAAATTGAAATGGTTCTAAGCTTGCAAATGCAGTTGAAGAGGGGCTAGGATTAGAACGGGTATACTACAAATCCCATCAGCCAAAGAGTATTTATTGGCTGGCGAGGACTAGAAGATAGACTTTTTCCATGATGGCCCCTGCTCTGTGTAACAGCTTCCTTTAAGAGATTAGAATGACCCCCAACTATGGATATTTCCAAATGCATATATCCAAACGTATATTTGAGGGAGAAGAGAGAAGCCTGCTCACTCCTACGACTTTTAGATAAGCTTTTCAACTATCTCTTTTTTTATTCTGGATGCAGGAGCTGATCACTGCCTGTTCCAAAGTAATTCTCGGTGGAAATCTGATCAAGAATTTATAGGACTTAGCTAATAACTCATGCTGTGGATTTTTTTTTGTTAAAGTTTTAAAGATTGTAAAGCAAAATTTATTGGGACGCAGTGGCTCAGCAGCTATAAGACGCTGAGCTTGTCGATCGAAAGGTCAACAGTTCAGCCATTCAAATCCCTAGTGCCGCGTAATGGGGTGAGCTTACTTGTTCCAGCTTCTGCCAACCTAGCAGTTCGAAAGCACGTTAAAAAAAGCAAGTAGAAAAATAGAGACCGACCACCTTTGGTGGGAAGGTAACAGCGTTCCGTGCGCCTTTGGCATTTAGTCATGCTGGCCACATGACCACGGAGACATCTTCTTCGGACAGCGCTGGCTCTTTAGCTTTGAAACATAGATGAGCACTGCCCCCTAGAGTCGGGAACAACAGCACATATGTGCGAGGTGAACCTTTACCTTTAAAGAAAAATTTAAGTGAGCTCAAAGAAAGTCCAGGAAAAAGTTATCTGTCTTTATCATTATTTCCATCTGAGGAAGTTGCAATTACGAATGATGAGATGCATTGAACGGAAATAGGAGCCCTGTAAGACGGCTAATCTTCTCGTTGGCTACACATTAAAGGTGTGCTCTTTGTTTTCCACAGATTGTGGTGCCATTGTCCATAAAAGCTGCAAAGAAAGTGTAGCTGCTTGTGCCAAGGTCAAAATGAAAGTAAGTATTATTCTGGTTCTTTTTTTTTTTCTTCAATATATTCACATGTGTGGATAATATGTGTGTATATCTGAAAATGTACGATTGTAACTTGGGAAGGAGAAAAACCTTCCAGTTTTCATATATGCAGGCTCATTAGGGCTCTGAAATATCTTCAGTTTGTTATTTGCTTTCTTTAAAATAAATTTCTAGCCTTCTTGGTTGCAGGGAAAAAAAATAATGCAAGCAAACTACTGTTTCACTGGGGCTAGGACTTCCAATAGATCAAGGTTAGTTTCAGGAATCCTGTGTCTTATTCCATCTCGCGATGCAATAATAATCCTATTATTGCTATTTTATTTGTAATATCATTCTAGTCCAATCCACTTCATAACTGCTGTGTGGTTCATTGTGATTATGGCACAAGCAAGGAGCAGGAAGAGATGTAAATTTATTTTCATTTATTTCATTTGTGCCTGTGGGCTCTTCACCAGTTCGTTCTGTTGCAATCAGTTACTGGAACTGTCCAACTTGAATTCTTCCTCTTTGCTACAATGCTTTATTTGCAATAAATCTGTCAAAAGCCTGATTTGCCGAGGCCCGTCTAGTATCGGTAGATCTGATGTTGTATTCTATATCCAGAGAACAAAACATTCTCGAAGAACTGTAGGTTTTTTTTAGTTTTTTGGGGGGGAATCCACTTAGGAGATGCCTTTAACAACCTCCAGAAATTTCTAGTATTTTGAAGACTGGAAACTTTTAGATAGCAGAAATATTACTATTATTTTTTTTAAAATGCAAGAAAAGGTTTCAGTTTAAGGCCACTTAAACGATTTCCTACCTATGTGGCAATTGTATAATTGTGTGAGGGGTTCAGCTCTTTGACCCCTCAAATATTTCAAAGGATTTTTCTTCTAAGTGGAAGTGAGATATTAAAAAAAAAAATACTCAATGCACATGCTTTGAATTCTCATACATGAGTCTGATAGTCTCTATCTTGATGTTTGTGGCATGAAACAGTCATTGTGATTCATAAACCATGGTTGATGCCTTAATTTTTTTTTTACATAAACCCAGCCAAACCACTCTGAAACCTTAGCTTAGCATGGTGTGTGAATGGAATTTATATTATAGCAATGTTTTTCTTCTAATCTTTTCAGCTCCAGAAAAACCCAAGTGGGCTTCAGCCTCACGATACTTCTTCATTGCCCACAGTAATTATGAGAAATAAGAGTGAGTATCTCTCTTTTTTTTTTTCCTCCTTGGCGCAAGATTCCCAAAGCTTGCAATTTTGTTGTCTTTAGTCTTTAGGCTAGTCTTTATAATCGTGCTCTGTTAAATTCAGATGTTACAAAACAACTGGGGAAAAGAGCGTATTTGTTCATTTAGAAAACAGATCCTGACTTTTCAAAGGATTTTTTTCAAACAAACTCCAAACGAGGAGGAGGATAAAGATGTTATCCATTCAGTCAGGGGTGGGCTTCAAAAATTTTAGCAAGGGGTTCTCTGCCCGGTTGCTGGGTGGGTGTGGCCATGGTGGGTGTGACCTAGTCAGCCTCCTGCACCACAGTGAGAGGTCGTTTTTGCCCTCCCCGGGCTCCGGAGGCTTTCCTCGAGCCTTTGGGAGTGCGAAAATGGCCTCCCCAGGCTCCGGAGGCCCTCTGGAGGCCGGAAACAGGCATTTCTGGCCTTCCCTAACTTCCGGTAGGCCTGTTTTTTGCCTTCCCTGAGCCTCCACACACGCCTTGCACTTACCTGCATCCAAAGCAGGCCACGTGGGGACTCCTGGAAGGGGAGGACTGGGCGGGGCCAGCCAGGAGTGGGATTTGAGGGTTCTCCGAACTGTACAGAATCTTAGCTAGAGGTTCTCCTGAACCCCCAGGAGCCCACCCCTGCATTCAATCATGTCTGACTTTTGGTGATTCTGTAGGCCGGGTCTTTTCCCATCTTCCCATCTTGTACTACTTCTTTGAGTTGTGCTATGTTCTGGCTGGCATCAGCTTTGATGGCGATATTCCAAAATACTGATTTGGACCTGATCTCCCGCTTAACCTCTTGCTGTATCTTCTGGTAATTTCTTTGCAGGTTCTCAGCCAAAAGAGCGTCCCAGATCAGCGATTCTTGCTCCTGATGAGAACGTAACGACCTCAGTGTTCAATAGTAGGCGATCCCAGCAGAACCTGTCCCTTTCAAAGAGCGTTTCCATTCAGAACATTGCTGGGTAAGAACTTTTTTGTTTGCTGCCTTGCTTTTTTGGAGTGGGGATTCCATTTTAACACATGCATAGTCAGTGGCGCTGGAGACTGAACGAGTGAAACCTATGGGAAGAAGATTAGAAATTTGGGGGTTTAACTTTCCCACTTAAAAGATGATCCTGGATGAGAGGATTTGAACAAGAGGTGTTGTTGGTCTTGCTCAACATAAATAAGACCCCTTCCTCTGTCCGTTGCACAAATGGCACAGTGTTCACCGTAGTTCCTCATGTATGTGTTTTTATGCATATATGACATGTATCTTTATATTGTAATTACATTGCATTTTTTAATCTTTGTTAATTGCCCAGAATCACATTAGTGAGATTGATGGCTGTATCAATTGATTTAATTTAAAATTGATAGTTTATGGATGGAGAGATGGAGAGAGAGAGAGTAGATAGTGTAGATAGCTAGATAGATAGATAGAAAGATAGATAGATAGGCAGGCAGGCAGGCAGGCAGGCAGGCAGGCAGGCAGGCAGACAGACAGACAGACAGACAGACAGACAGACAGATACTGTGGATGGATGGATGGATGGATGGATAGATAGAAACATTGTTGTGCCAGATGTCATTAATATATCAGACATAAATTACATAATCGTGCCATTTTCCTAATTATAACGTGTCTCATTTTGATGTTGAATGTGACTTGTGGTGGACACCACTGCTTCTCAGTAGCTTACTCTGTTTTCCATGCTTCTTGTCCTGCCAGAGTCGGAAACGATGAAAGTATCCTTCATACGCGGAAATTTCTCTCCCAATCAACAGACTCCTTGAATAAAATCAGCCGGGTAAATGAATCCATGGAATCATTAACAGATGAAGGTATGTGACCGTGTTGTGGAAATAACCAGCTTGACTGTAGGAGAAAAGCTGAAGGACATTAGGAGAGAAAAGAATGCTTTCAAACATGCTCAATTCTCTACATGAAGAAGATTAATTCCAAAAAAAAGAAAAGGAAAGGAAAGAAATACTTACCATAGATCTCTTTCTTACAACTAAAATATGACAGAAACCAATAATTGCTTATTCTGCAATATGCTATGGAGGGCCAGATTCCAATATTTAGCATCCTTTACCAATAGCCATGTGGGTTGGGACTGCTTGGAGTTGATGTCCAGTGATGTTGGGAGGGTGGTATGTGCTTCATTAGCTGTAGATCAATGTTTCCAAACCTGATAGACTTCCAACTTTCCCAGCCAGCCTTGCTCTTGTTTGGAACTCTGGGAACTGAAGTCCAGATATCTAGAAATAACCCAGGTAGGACATACTGCTCTAAACTGATGCATTTGCTACGTTCTACACAGTGCATAAAAGACTGTTTAGATCTAGCTGTTTACAGAGGAGTGGTGCAGTGGCTTAGAGGTGGAGCTCTCACCTCACGATCAGGTGGCTGTGAGTTCGATCCTACGTAGAGGCAGATATGTCTCTCTCTGGGCACACTGAGAATATATCTGCTGAACAAAACTCCGCACTGGCAACAGGAAAAGCATCCGGCCATTAGAACACTCTGCTAGCTGCATTCAGTTGCCCAGATTCCACCCCACAAGAGATTATGGGGTCGTTAAATGAAGATGAAGATCTAGTTGCTTACAGAGCAAGTAAACCTGTCACTGGACTGCAGCGTGTAAGACTACAAGCAGGATACTTTGGGCATAGCAAACTAATAAGATAGAGGGAATCAATGCTAAATAATTTTCATTTTAACTGCCCACCTGGGACCAGCGAAATGCTTAAGCATTGGAATGGGCTACTTTGTTAGCTGATAAATATTTTGAAATCCAGGCTGTTTCAGAGAAACGGGATTTGGAGGGCGAGGGAACAATTCCTCTGAGATCTGTCTCAGGATAGTTGTATAAATTGCTTCCGTAGCTTGATTATGCCAGCTTCATCAAAATCCTCTTCTGATGTTCTGTTAATTTACCCCAGTAAACAAAGGCAGACAAATTACATCTTAATGACAACGCAATTACCCGAAATTGCATTAATGGCTCACTCTGGGAGATTTGCACAGCAATCGCGTAGAATTACTCTGCATTCATTACTAAGTTACTTTTCAAAAGGTTAAGGTGTCGCTGCGATTTTAATACTGGTGGAGGGGGATCTGCAGGGGATGGACCGAATTCTTCCAGGTGTATGAAAGGAGATTCCTAGGTTTTGCTATGGATGAAACATAAACAGTGTGATAACTTCATAATGATGATTGTAGCCTTAGCAAACTGTAATAGCATTCTCACAAGATCCCAATTCTGTACAGGCAATCTTTTTCTGTACTCACTCAAAGTGGGAAGAAGTTTGCATTCTGTTCAGTTTGACTCTTTTTTTCCTGCAAATGATTGCCCCAAAGGAAGTGACATTTCTTAACGACCTGTACAAGAATCAGATAATCTCTCCTTCTTCCCAGGGGCAGACATGAATGAAGGACAGCTCATGGGAGATTTTGAAGCAGACTTGAAACATCTGGAAGCTCAGTCTTGGAGTCAAGTGGTAGACAGCAAGTTTCTCAAACAGCAGAAGAAAGACATTGTGAAGCGACAGGATGTCATTTATGGTGAGTGACAGGCAAGATACAATCTCCTGGTTTTAAGTTCTGCAATAGGGAGGCAAATCATGACGTTTTGTCGTAAGTGTGTTTTTAAGCCATACCGTAGCTTGGTTTGGAATAGTATCTTTGAAGCCAACCATGGTTTATGCAATGCAAGGTTTATGGCTCAACGTTATTCATGAACCAAGTCATTGCAGCTTACTCAACAAACCACGTAAGATCTTGGCTCTCTTTTTTTTTTTCTTAGATTTGGGAACAGGCCAGTAGGTATAGAACTGACCTTGGAGAATATGAAAGTCCTTCCAGTGCAGATCCCACTTCCATGAATGGGTTCTGATATTTTGCCAGCATTGCCACAATTATTCTTTCTTAAAATAACTCTTTTGTGAGCGTTTTACACATCCACTTTTCTACCCTGTATTCTGTTCTCTGATGTTTTATTTTATGGTATGTCATATGTATTCTTATTTTACATTTATTTATTTAGTATATGGCATCTACAGAGGTCATGCAATCACTGATATACAAATTTAGTTTAAATAAGCAAAGATAGATGGATGGATGGATGGATGGATGGATGGATGGATGGATGATAGGGATAGATAGATAGATAGCTGGATGGATGATAGGGATGTATGTATGTGGATGGATGGATGGATGATAGGGATAGATAGATAGATAGATAGGTGGATGGATGATAGGGATGTATGTATGTGGATGGATGGATGGATGGATGATAGGGATAGATAGATGGATGATAGGGATAGATGGATGGCTGGATGGATGATAGAGATAGACAGACAGACAGACAGAACTAGATAGAACCGATAGATAGATAGATAGATAGATAGATAGATAGATAGATAGATAGATAGATAGATAGATGAGAGAGAGAGGGAGTGAGAGAGAGACAGACAGACAATACAATATAGGAGATAATATATTAAATGAAGATAAAACCATAATAAAATCACCATAATATGGAGTCATAAAATGGGATAAACGTTATAATTCTATACCTAAGGAAGCTAACCATCTCACTGCTTCTGGTGTGGCTGCAGTGAGGTCATTCCAGGTGCCTTGAAATTTCCTGAGGAGACATTCTTGAACTCTCATGTGTTATATAGTTTGTTCGGGTGCACCACAGTCGCATTGCAAGCTCTCGGCCGTTCCCCACTTATTTTAAGTTCTCTTTGGTTCATATTGACAGTGAGTTGCATCAGAAGATTTCTGATGAGGGTAGTAGATACAGTGAAATAGGCATTCAAGCACTTCTTGAATAACCCAGCTATACAAGCTATAAAGGTAAAGGTGCCCCTTGCACATATGTGCTAGTTGTTCCCGCTCTAGAGGATGGTGTTCATCTCCGTTTCTAAGCCGAAGAGCCAGTGCTGTCTGAAGATGTCTCCATGGTCATGTGGCCGGCATGACTCAATGCCAGAGGTGCATGGAACGCTGTTCCCTTCCCACCAAAGGTGGTCCCTATTTTTCTATTTGCATTTTTTATGTGCTTTCGAACTGCTAGGTTGGCAGAAGCTGGGACAAGTAACGGGAGCTCACCCCATTACACGGCACTAGGGATTCGAACCGTTGAACTGCTGACCTTCTGATCGACAAGCTCAGTGTCTTAGCCACTGAGCCACCGTATCCCTATTCACCTCTAAATCAAAGCCAAGAAAAGCTGTAACGGTGTTTCCCCATGTATTTGGCAGAGCCTTATGCATCTCTCTGATTCTCCCCTCTCTGCTCCTTCTCTCCACAGAACTGATACAGACGGAGATGCACCATGTCCGGACCTTGAAGATCATGAGTGATGTCTACAGCAGAGGCATGGTGCAGGAGCTACAGTTTGAGCAGCAGATGGTGGAGAAAATCTTCCCTTGCTTGGACAACTTGCTGAACATCCATAGCCAGTTCTTTCAGAGGATTCTGGAGAGGAAGAAGGAATCCCTGGCTGACCGAAGTGAGAAGAACTTTGTCATCAAGAGGATAGGGGACATCTTGGTGAATCAAGTAAGTTGCTCGATAAGCTTTGCCTTAAAACAGGGGTCCTCAAACTTTTTAAACGGGGGGCCAATTCACGGTCCCTCAGACTGTTGGGGGGCCGGACCGGCTGAGCGGGCATGGCTAGGTGGTCATGTGACTGGGTGACGTCGCTAGGTGGTCATGTGACTGGGTGGGTGTGGCCAAATTAGCAGTCCAAACAATACACACAAATTAAACTTTAATTTGTTATGCTCCTGGGGGTGGAAAGCAGGTTAGGGAAGGGATGTGGCTGCCTTGGGGTGTGTATGAGGGACTTCTGTTTATGTGTGTGTGTGTCTCCCTGCCCCCACTTCTCTCTTTCTCTCTGGAGGTCGGGGAAGCCAAAAACGGTCCCATTTTTGGCCTCCCCAGCCTCCAGTACTACTCTGCTCCCAAAAACAGGGGGGGGGCATTTTTGGCTTCCCGAGGCCTCCATGAGTCCTGTTTTTGGCCTCCCTGGCCTCCAGAAGGCAGGTGGCGGCCGGCAGGTAGACGGGGCGATATGGGTGGGGCAGACTGGTGGTCCCATGTGGGCCGGATTAATGGCTTCGGCGGGCCATATCCAGCCCGTGGGCTGTGGTTTGAGGACCCCTGCCTTAAAAGAAAAGAAAGACACAAGTTCCTGATTACTCTTTCATTCTTCTTCTCCGCTGCATTTTCTTCACAAAATTTGCTTTGGAAATCCTTTCTAAGAGAAGTACGTTTTTGAAAATTGGGTTAAAGTGTGGTGTCTTGCCACAAGCCAAAACAAAATCACACATGGAGTTGATGCAACATAGAACCATGTCTCCTTCGATGAGAGGAGCAGCACAGATTCAGGGAAATCATTCCAATTTAACTTTAAGGCCCATTTGGGTTCAGTTAAGACCTCAAGAAGAATTTAAACAACCCATATACCAAAGATCAAAAACCTCTGAATTGGCAAAAGCATCCCAACTAAAACCTCTTTCCCAGTGGTGAAATCCAATTTTTTTACTACCGGTTCTGTGGGCGTGGCTTGGTGGGCATGGCAGGAGAAGGATATTACAAAATCTACATTCCCATCCCACTCGGGGGCCAGCCAGAGGTGGTATTTGCCGGTTCTCCAAACTATTCAAAAATTCCGCTACCGGTTCTCCGAACTGCTCAAAATTTCCACTACTGGTTCTCCAGAACCTGTCAGAACCTGCTGGATTTCACCCCTGCCCTTTCCCCAGATGTCCACGGCCTCCTCACCTCTCCCAGGAGTTTGGCTGTGATGTCTCAAGTGGGCTTGGTTGGTTTTTCTCACTCCATTGACTCCCTCCTTCTGATTTATCTCTTGCAATTTGCAGTTTTCTGGGGAGAACGCTGAGCGAATGAAGAAAACGTACGGGAAGTTCTGTGGGCATCACAATGAGGCTGTGAATTACTTCAAAGACCTTCATTCCAAGGATAAAAGATTTCAGGCCTTCATCAAAGTAAGCTGACAGGGGCATGACGTTTTTGCAAGAGTTGTGGGTATGACTCATAGTTTAGTTTAGTTTACGTTATTGTCATTGCATCTCGTACAACGAAATTAAATGCCATCTTCAGTGTACATTATGACTTTTAAAAATAAAAACACAAACACGCATCCTTTACATTCTATGCAATTGAATTGAAAACCCCTGATATTGCATTCATATTACACTATACAGTAGAATTCAAAATAGTTACTGCCCTGGAATAGAAGCTTGTTTTTCAGCCTATTTGTCCTTGTTTTTATTATCCTGTACCGTCTGCCAGATGGTAATAGTTAAAAAAAAAAGGGTGCCCAGGATGAGATGGATCTTTAAGAATGTTTTGAACTTTCTTAAGGCAGCGGGAACTATAAAGCTCTTCCAAAGAGGGGAGAGGGCCACCAACGAGCCTCTGGGCAATGACGTTGACCCTCTGGAGCGCTGTCCTATCTGCCACTGTGCAATTGGCAAACCATACACACATGCAGTAAGTTAAAATACTCTCTATGGTGTAGCAGTAGAAGGTCACCAGCAGTTTTTCATTCAGCTGTTGTTTCCTGAGAAGTCTCAGGAAATGAAACCTACCTGAAGATTAACATTATCCAGGCTGCGTGTGTTATACAATTCAGCTACCAGGTGTTGACTGACATGGTTTTATTGAAAACTAAGATCCTACTCCCATGATGGTGAACCTATGGCACGCGTGCCACAGGTGGCACACGGAGCCATATCGGTGGGTATGCAAGCGTTGCCCTAGCTCAGCTCCAGTGCACATGCACGCACCGGCATGCATTAATGTGGAGCATTTTAGTCCTGCCATGTTCCTTAAAAATATTCTCAATACGAAGCTGCGGATGGAGACTGTGGAATTCTTTTTTGAAGGCTCGTGGTCATCTCATACATAAGATACTCCTGGCTATTCAGGTGTTTCAATTTCTTCTCCTTCCTTCAGAAAAAGATGAGCAGCTCTGTGGTGAGGCGCTTGTGCATCCCTGAATGCATCTTGCTAGTAACGCAAAGGATCACCAAATACCCAGTGTTGCTACAGAGAATATTACAATATACCAAAGGTAGGTTTTTTTCTGTAGATGTTTCTGCAATTCTGTCATTGTGCCTTCCTTTTCTAGAATGAATAATGTCTTCAATGACACTGGTCTTTTTTTTAAATCTCAAATACCCAGAACGGTGGCATTCATTTGATCTGGTTCATCATGATTTTATAGATCGGGAATGGGGGTGGGCTCCAAACCAGGGGTGAAATCCAGCAGGTTCTGACAGGTTCTGGAGAACCTATAGCAGAAATGTTGAGTAGTATGGAGAACTGGCAAATGCCACCTCTGGTTGGCCCCAGAGCGGCGATGGAATGGGGAATTTGCAATATCCTTCCCCCAGGAGAGGGGAGGGAATGGGGATTTTGCAGTATCCTTCCCCTGGAGTGGGGTGGGAATGGAGATTTTGCAGTATCCTTCTGCTGCCACACCCACCAAGCCATGCCCACCAAGCCACGCCCACAGAACCGGTAGTTAAAAAAAAATTGAATTCCACCACTGCTCCAAACCTGGAAACTTTAAGACTTGTGGATTTCAATTCCCAGAATTTCCCGATCATCATGTCCCATCTGAGGGGCTGACTGAGGAATTCTGGGAGTTGAAGTCCCCAAGCCTTAAAGCTGCCAAGTTTGAAGATCCTTGCCTGTTACAGCTCATGTTTTCAATGTTTGAGTATCCCTTGGCTTTTGCTTGTGGTTGAAGACTGGGGTCTTAGATTTTGTGCTCCGCTTCTGTTCTCCGAGACGCCCTTTGCGGTGTTTCCTTTCTAAAAATGAAACTCCTTTTAGAAATATTTCAGTTTCATTAACTATCGAGTTGTGGGTTTAAAAGGCTGAATAAATGCATAATGGCACGTAAATCTTTTTTCGATGAAAAGCCAGTGGACTGTGGGATGAATCAGCCAAAGAGATATAGTTGAGTTGAAGTTCATCAATGGAAAAATTGCATTTTGTGACATTGCATTCCTTTTTGGCCTCTTTCTCACACACCCACATGTGCAAAGTGCAAGAGAAAGAGAGGTCTAGCCTACTAAAGCCAAAGAGCCAGATGTGCTCAGGATCACGTGCCACTGGGATTTCACAGGACCCCTTTCTAATTCCTCCTATAACAGATGTTTGCTTAGATACAACTACTGGATAGAAGAACGACAGCTGGCCTTCAGTGTTGTAAAACAGGGAAGACAACCTTTAGCAATCAAGTCGCTTATTTTATTCATAAAATAAGTAAATTTTTATATAACATTTATAACATTTATATAATTATTTATATAATTTAGTAATCAAATCTTCAGGCCGGAGGCTTTTAAGAAGAGACTGGACAGCCACTTGTCTGAAATGGTGTAGGGTCTCTTGCTTGAGCAGAGGGCTGGACTAGAAGACCTCTAAGGTCCCTTCCAACTCTGTTATTCTGCCAATCAATAATTTGGTCAAAGAAATTGGTGTAATTGATGTCAGCAGGTGGATTAAAATACACACACACCGAATCTAATCTTCAGTCAAAATCAGTTAAAATAATTTTAAAGCTGCATTAAGCTAATTGAATAAACAATTCACGTTGCATAAACAGCAGTCACCTTTGGAAATATTTGAAAATCAGAATGCATAATTTTCAGGGGTGAAATCCAGCAGGTTCTGGAGAACCGGTAGCAGAAATTTTGAGTGGTTCGGAGAACCAGCAAATGACACCCCTGGCTGACCCCAGAATGGGGTGGGAATGGAGATTTTACAATATCCTTCCCCCAGGAGTGGAGAGGGAATGGGGATTTTGTAGTATCTTTCCCCTGGAGTAGGGTGAGAATGGAGATTTTGCAATATCCTTCCCCCAGGAGTGGGGAAGGAATGGGGATTTTGCAATATCCTTCCCCTGGAGTGGGGTGGGAATGGAGATTTTGCAATATCCTTCCCCCCAGGAGTGGGGAGAGAATGGGGATTTTGCAGTATCCTTCCCCTGGAGTGGGGTGGGAATGGAGATTTTGCAGTATCCTTCCCCTGCCACGCCCACCAAGCCACACCCACAGAAACCGGTAGTAAAAAAATTTGGATTTCACCACTGATAATTTTGCTGCTGCTTGTTCATCAGTATCTTCGTGAATGTTGATGGTGCAACCATGCCAGTCAGTTAGTGTACATGGACTGGATTCCTGTTCTAAGTAAATTCTTGGAGGGGAAGAATCTAGAAGTCACCAGTGGGTGTGGATAAGTCGTTGGTCAGAAGAAAACAGAATAAAAAGCAGGACTAAGCTTGGCGAAGTGAAGCCTTTGGGAGGAAGGTAAGGTAACAAACGAAATATTCTTCCGTTTAAGAAAACGACACTGAACATCAAGACTTGGTGCTTTCGTTGAACCTGGTGAAGGAAGTCCTAACTGCAGTCGACAGCAAAGTAAGCAACTATGAGAAGAAGATGCGTCTCAGCGAGATCTACACCCGGACGGACAGCAAGTCGATCATGAGAATGAAGAGTGGACAGATGTTTGCTAGAGAAGATCTGAGGCGCCGGAAGTTTGTCCGAGACGGACTGGTTGCTCTCAAAAACGTAGCTGGGAGATTGAAAGGTAAGGGATGCTTTCAGGGACTCACTGATTCACTGGAAAGGATACAATAGGCACCACAAGGTCCCTTGCACTGATGCTGCTACCTAGTTTGGTAACGAAACGTCTGAAGAAAACAACCAAGCTCAAGAGAGCACCAATGCCTTTCATTTCAACCCGGAGCTACAAATAATTCTCTTTTGTCGGTACTGTAAAGTTCTTTCCACATCTGCTCTGGCATTTAAATTGGACTGCTCTCCAGGTTGTAGAAACTGGCTAACAAATTATTTTTGCCAGATAGAATGCTTATGACATAGTGGGTTGTTTTTTTTTTTTTTTTTTGAGAAACCTTCTATCTCGAATAAAATGTTAGTTGCAGGGGTGGGAGGAAAAAAGAGTACAGTGGTGCACTTTGCACACAGTTGTTTAACTGCATTTTGCCTGGAGGGCTGAGGGAAACATTTTGCAGGAAAGTCCTGAATTTCTCTCAGACAAAATCCTCTTTGGCCTGAACCTGAAAGAAGAGCTGAAAATGAATGGTATTCATTTTCATTTAAATGGGGAAAACGGTAGTCACAAAATGGAGGGCTTCTGTGAAACTCTACCTACTGTTAGGCCCAACTTGCAGAATCATTACTTTGTTTTGAAATTGTTTCAGGAAATGAAACAAGAATCATACTGATAAAGGCAGACATGTCAGGTTTGGGTTGTCTGGTTTTTATAACCAGATCTCTTGATGTTCCTTTTCTTCTCAGAAGTCCTAGCTGTTCTTCTCTCAGATGTTCTGATATTTCTCCAGGAAAAGGATCAAAAATACGTATTTGCATCCCTGGTAAGGAATTCTACACAATTCTTTTTTTCCATTAAAAAATAAATAACAGTAATAAACAGTAGAATTTTTTATTAGCCAAGTGTGATTGGACATACAAGGAATTTGTCTTTGGTGCATATGCTCTCAGTGTACATAAAAAGACAAGATACATTCGTCAAGAATCATAAGGTACAACACTTAATGATAGTCATAGGGTACAAATAAGCAATCAAATCATACTAGGAAACAATCAGTATAAGTCTTAAGGATACAGCAACTACAATCATACAGTCATGAGTGGGAGGAGATGGGTGATAGGAACAATGAGAAGGTTAATAATAATAGTAATGCAGACTTAGTGAACAAACACAATTAAATGGGCTTTTCATCTGGAGGAACAGGCTGTAAAAGACTCTTCTTAAGTTTCTGTTAATGTCATTATTATCATTTACTTTATTCATTAAACATGAAACTCGGTCAACTGATCATTTAAAAATGTGTCACAAATACCATTGACTGGTGCTAATGGTTGATACGGGTTGCTGTCAGCATCCTAGGTATCAACCAAGTATCTTCTTAAAATGTATGATGTTCCGAGTAGCGCATTTTTTTGCAGTTCTGCTGGTGTTATTGCAGGAAGCTGCAATTTCTTGATATGTTTTATAAAATTCTTGGACATGGTACCAAGTGCCCCAATGACAATGGGTATCACGGTTACATGTTTCATCCATAATCGCGTAGTTTCGATGGCCAGGTCGTGATATTTCCTGATGTCATTATTATTATTATTATTATTATTATTATTATTATTATTATTATTATTTATATGGCACATTCACATTACATTTCAATAAAACCCTAGAGATAAAAATACGAAATATGAAATACAAAATCTAAAATATTATAAACTTACAGATATAATTTGTTGATGTCATTGATAGGACAAGTTAAATTAGGAGTCCACTTTAGGTGGTCTCTTTACCATTGCTCCAGAATCATTGTGAAACAGGAATGATCATGTTGTAGGGGTGGTTGTATGTGTAGAGATCCCAGTTGCCCCAAATCAACCTAACACATCTACTTCTTTTCCTCAACTCACAAAAAAAGGATCAAAAATCCACCGTGATCTCATTAAAGAAGCTGATTGTCCGTGAAGTTGCCCATGAGGAGAAGGGCTTGTTCCTGATCAGCATGGGAGGAAAAGACCCTGAGATGGTGGAAGTGCATGCCAGCTCAAAGGAGGAGCGTAACAGCTGGATTCAAATCATCCAAGACACTATCAACACTATGTAAGAAGCTAAATAAGTGTTGTTGGAATGAGTGATATTGTTTGGGTTTGCTTCCAGCAAATGAATCCTTGGTGGAAGACAGAATAGATTGAAGAAGGCATCTCAGTCTGATGCCCTTGGATTTCCAGGTGTCCCGTCTTTTCCACCTAGCATGGAGGGTATTTTGTTTGGGAAGGCTGTTTTGCAGACATCTGAACTACCGTGTTTTCCCGAAAATAAGACCGGGTCTTATATTAATTTTTGCTCCAAAAGACGCATTAGGGCTTATTTTCTGGTTAGGTCTTATTTTCAGGGGAAATATGGTACTAAATGCATCCATCTGGCTGACAATCTTAACTGCGGCTTATTTTGGGGGTAGGGCTTATATTACGAGCATCCTGAAAAATCATACTAGGGCTTATTTTCCGGTTGGGTCTTATTTTAGGGGAAACAGGGTAGAAGAATCTAGATGTCCACTAGATGGCAGAAGAAATAGAGTTTTCCATGTTTCTTCACTTCCATCTATTGTTCAATATAAATAACACAATGATGAATGCTTCTCCAGCATGGTTTTTTTTTTTCAATCTGCCTGGTTCTTCTACAGGGACAAAGAGGAAGATGAAGGTATTCCTAGTGAATCCGAAGAGGAGAAGAGGGTGCTGGACACCAAGGCCAGGGAACTGAAAGGTAAAAATGGGCATAATCTGAATTTTTAGTCTCCTAACGCCAGCAATTCTCTGTTTCAGCACAAGATGGAGCTCCAGCATTAGCGATTGCAAACCCCACCAACTTTTAAATAACTTTCCATCCTCTGTAATAGCATTCTAGCTGACCTCTCTCCGCTTTTTCCCCTCTCACAGAACAGCTCCAGCAAAAAGATCAGCAAATAATCACCCTCTTGGAGGAAAAAGAGAAGATTTTCAGAGATATGACGGATTGCAGTGGGCATGAAGAAGGACTCGGGTCTGGCGCCAGGATGCTGTTCCGGGCAAACACAGAGGAAGCACCGAAAGGAGAAAGCATAATGAAGAATCTGATCAGTGAAGGTAAGCTGGCCTCTCACCCCCAACGTTTGTTGCTTGGTTTTACGAAGGAGTCTAAACTGAATATCTTGGATAAAGTAAATCGCTGGTTTTCGAAGAAGTAAAACTGCAACAGGCTGAAAACCGAGAGTTGAAAACAAGATTATCATTCGGGATGCGATGAATTTTTAATAGAATTTTCCAGAGTTTTGCTTGATTTTTTTTAATATATATATCAGGGCTCGGTTCTAATTTTTTTTACTACCAGTTCTGTGGGCATGGCTTATTTTGTGGGCGTGGCTTGGTGGGGGTGTAATGTGACTGGGTGGGCGTGGCCAACTTTTTTTTTTTAACTTTTAAAAGCATTTTTTCTACAACCTTAAGAGGTTGCAGAAAAAAAGCTTTTAGAAGCCTCTGACGATCAGGCAACTCAGCTGGGATCGCCAGAGGCTTTTAAAGGCATTTTTTTCCCTACAACCTCTTCGGCTGAAGAGGTTGTAGAAAAAATATTTTTAAAAGCCTCTGAGGATCCCAGCTGAGCCACGCGATCAGCCGCTGCAATATTTGTTAAGTGTGAAAAACAGTCCCTTTCTCTGGTGCCGTTGTAACTTTGAATGGTCACTAAATGAACTGTTGTAAGTTGAGGACTACATGCATTTAATTACATGCAGTTTTTTGGCCGAAGAGGTTGTTGAAAAACTACTTTTAAAAGTAAAAAAAAAAAGCCTCTGATGAGGTGGGTGGGGTAAGCAAGCGGCAACCGGTTTGGGGGCGTGGCCAGCCAATGTTATTACCGATTCTCCAAACTACTACAAATTTTTACTACCAGTTCTTGTGAACCGGGAGCATTCCACCCCGATATATATTCTGACCAAGGGGGTTTGCTTGTTTTTATTCATGCATTATTTTTATTTATTATATATATTTTTAAATGTCGCCCTACAAGGTGACTTTGGCTGGTTTTTACTGCTTGCTTGGGGTTGTTGTTGCAATACGAACAGTTAGAGAATATTTAGATAAAAATAAATTAAATGCATGTAGTCCTCAATTTACAAAAGTTCATTTAGTAACCGTTCAAAGTTACAACGGCACCGGAGAAAGGGACTGTTTTTCACACTTAACAAATGTTGCAGCACCCCCGTGGTCACATGATCAAAATGAAAACGCTTGGCAACTGGCATGTATTTATGACGGTTGCAGTGTCCCAGGGTCACGTGATCCCCTTTTGCGACCATCTGACAAAACCAAGTCAAAGGGAAAGCTGGATTCACTTAATGACCCACGTTCCTCACTGAACTGCTGCAGTGATTCACTTCCCAACCATGGCAAGAAAGATTGCATAATGGGGGCCAACTCGCTTAACGAATGTCTTGCTTTTAGCAACATAAATTCTGGGCTCGGTTATGGTCGTAAGCTGAGGACTACCTGTAAGTATTTATTTTTAAAATAAATAAACAAGCAAGTTGGCAGCGAGTAGAGTAGAATAGAGTAGAGTAGAGTAGAGTAGAGTAGAATAGAATAGAATAGAATAGAATAGAATAGAATAGAATAGAATAGAATAGAATAGAATAGAATAGAATAGAATAGAATAGAATAGAATTCTTTATTGGCCAAGTGTGGTTGGACACACAAGGAATTTGTCTTTGGTGCATAAGCTCTCGGTGTACATAAAAAGAAAAGATACATTTGTCAACAATCATAAGGTACAACACTTAGTGATAGTCATAGGGTACAAAGAAGCAATCAAATTATACTAGCAAACAATCAATATAAATTGTAAAGATACAAGCAACAAAGTTACAGTCATGCAGTCACAAGTGGGAGGAGATGGGTGATAGGAAGGATGAGAAGATTAATAGTAGTGCAGCCTTAGTGAATAGTTTGACAGCATTGAGGGAATTATTTGTTTAGCAGAGTGATGAGTTTGGGAAAAAAAACTGTCCTTGTGTCTAGTTGTTTTTGTGTGCAGTGCTCCATAGCGTCATTTTGAGGGTAGGAATTGAAACAGTTTATGTCCAGGATGCGAGGGGTCTGTAATGATGAACATGGATGGCCTTCTGAGGGCGCTTTGTCTTCTTTCAGTCGAGCAGCTGCAAGGTTTGGTGAGCAGAAGCCTCGGAAGTGCTTTTGGGCAGCAGATGACCAATCTGGCTTCCGATCAGGAGAGTGTGGGGCCCATCTCTCTCCCCAGGAGGGCAGAGACCTTCGGAGGATTTGACAGCCACCTAATGAATGTCTATAAAGGTGAGTCTTTTTTTCCTCCACTCCAGGCATTAAGCTTTGAGCCGCAGTGGTTAGAATGCAGTACTGCAGGCTACATCTACTGACTGCCGGCTGCCTGCAATTTGGCAGTTCAAATCTAGAAAGAGTGCAGAGAAGAGCAACAAAGATGATTAAGGGACTGGAGGCTAAAACATATGAAGAACGGTTGCAGGAATTGGGTATGTCTAGTTTAATGAAAAGAAGGACTAGGGGAGACAGGATAGCAGCGTTTCAGTATCTCAGGGGCTGCCACAAAGAAGAGGGAGTCAAGCCAGGGGTGAAATCTTGCCGGTTCTGACAGGTTCTGGAGAACCGGTAGCGGAAATTTTGAGCAGTTCGGAGAACCGGCAAATACTACCTCTGGCTGGCCCCAGAGTGGAGTAGGAATGGAGATTTTGCAATATCCTTCCCCTGCCACACCCATCAAGCCATGCCCACAGAACCGGTAGTAAAAAAAATTGGATTTCACCACTTGGCCAAGCTATTCTCCAAAGCACCTGAGGGCAGGACAAGAAGCAATGGAAGGAAACTAATCAAGGAGAGAAGCAACTTAGAACTAAGGAGAAATTTCCTGACAGAACAATTAATCCGTGGGACAACTTGCCTCCAGAAGTTGTGAATACTCCAACGCTGGAAGTTTTTAAGAAGATGTTGGATAACCATTTGTCTGAAGTGGTGTAGGGTTTCCTGCCTAAACGGGGTTGGACTAGAAGACCTCCAAGGTCCCTTCCAACTCTGTTATTTTATTCTAAATCTCACCAGGCTCAAGGTTGACTCAGCCTTCCATCCTTCCGAGGTGGATAAAAATGAGGACCCAGATTATTGGGGGCAATAGGCTGACTCAGTAAACCATTTAGAGAGGGCTGTAAAGCACTGAGAAGCGGTATATAAGTCTAAGTGCTATTGCTATTGCTATTTGCCCTTTTATTTTGCAGTCAGTTTCCTGAACGGGGAAATAACGCTTTTGCCGTAGTTACAGTCGCTCTCAAGGCTCACTACTTTGAAGAACCTTAGGCTGTGTTTGTTTTGGCTTAGCCTGGTATCTGCACCCAGCCTTTATGTACAAATTATGGCCTATATGGTTTGGTGTGATGTGGGATGTCCTCCCATCTTCAGTTTTTCGGTTACACACACACACAAAAAAACTTATTCAAAAGTTTTTCTTTTCTTTTTTTTAGGTGGCGAGAAGGATGAAGGAGAAGAAGTACAAGATCTTCGGAGGACGGAGTCTGATAGCGTGTTGAAGAAGGTACGGAATGGCTGAGAGTTCAACAGCTTTCCATATTCAGCCTCCTGCGTCTTGTAGAGTTTTGGCTAGTAAGGGAGTATGAACCCTTGGGGGAACCCTTAAAATAGCATCTATCTGTTGGAGACCCACACTAAACAATAAAGGTAAAGATTTCCTGGTCAGTTGTGTCCGAGTCTAGGTCACAGTGCTCATCTCCATTTCTTGGCCAAGGGAGCCAGCATTGTCTGAAGACACTTTCCGTGGTCATGTGGCCAGCATGACTATCCACCAACAGCACACAGAACGCTATTACCTTCCCAACAATGTGGTACCTATTTATCTAGTCGCATTTGCATGCTTTCAAACTGCTAGGTGGACAGCAGCTGTCCAAGAATGGGCGATCGCCCCATTGCATGGAGCTCAGGTCTCAAACCTCGGCTGTCAGCTCTCCAGCTGACCAGTGTCAGTGTCTTTAACCACTGAGCCATCCCACCCTCACCAAACAGCACCTACCGGTAGAACTTATCCACTCACCATGTTTGGCTAGAGACTGATCAACTGTCCGGCAAGGTCTACCAATAATTGAGCCATCCTTCCTAATAGCTTACTTTTCCCACTTCCTGCGATGACCAGCAGATCCGCTGTTTTATCCTTTGCAGGATGCATTGCACTGCATCTCTGGGTTTGATTGTGTAGTTGAAGGTGAGAGGTCAACGCAATGGCAAAAGTAGTGACCCGAACAACAGTTGTGTTTTCCTCCTTGCATTAAATCGATAGCTGCAGGAGGATGTCATTGAACCAACACTACAATTTCTGCTGAGCTGTATCATTCATGCCACTCTTAATTAGCATCCCCATTCCTTGTAAATCCCTCCAGCTGTTTTACGGGAGAGAATTCATTTCTCCTGTTAGCTGATATAATCCTTACAAACCTCTAAAAAGGTAGCAAAACAAGAGTTTCTTCATGATTACCGTCAGGAAACTTAAATTCTGGTAGGCTGTTTTCATATTAGAAGGAAATTAGTGGCACATTTATTTTATATTTTTGTTATTGTGTTTTGATGTTTTATGCACAATTTTGATCTCTGACCATAAACATACATTGATGGAATATGCTCAGAAAATTGGGTCAGGGATGCTGGGAGGGGAAGGCCAAGCTTTCAAACATAAGTTCTTTGATTTTTTTATTTATTTGGATCTCTTGTCCTTCGTCTTTTTCTCACTGAGAGAATCTATGGTCTCTTCTCAGGGAGGAACAGCTAACTTGATGTTTGTGCTGAAGAGAAACAATGAGGTAAGTGTTTGTGTTCAGAATTGCCCTTTTTCTTTTGTTTGCACAACATCTACAACATGTGATCAGCCCCTTTCTTATGCCTAATGAAATATCTCCTCCTTTAATTTTGTTGGTCTTTTAATCTGGAATTTTATTTTATTTTATTGCATTGCATTGCATTGCATTGCATTGCACTGTAGTATTTTATTTTATTATTTTATTTTATTTTATTTTATTATTTATTTTATTTTATTTTATTTATTATTTTATTTATTTTTTATGAAAATTTATATAGCCGCCTACTCACTCATGGTGACTCTAGGCGGCTTTTAGAAAATAAAAACACAAAGTAGCAAAAGCATTTACGACTTATAGAGCACATCTTCACAGTGCTTTACAGCCCTCTTTAAGCGGTTTACAGTTTATAGTATCAGTGTATTTCCCCCAACAATCTGGGTTCTCATTTTACCGACCTCGGAAGGATGGAAGGCTGAGTCAACCTTAAGCCGGTAGGGATTGAACTCCTAACAGTGAGCAGAGTTAGAATGCGCCACCATGGCTCCTGAAGAAATAAAAATAATAAAATAATAATAAAATAATAACCACCCCCACCCCCTGACGACAACACACACTCAAATCAGCCATTTAATGGGCTTCATCCCACTCTGGGTTGGCAAAACCACATCTTCAGGGCCTTCCGGAAGAGTGTCAAGAGTGGGAGGCAGTCTAATTTCTGAGGGAGGACATTCCAAAGGGAGGGAGCCACCACGGAGAAGGCCCTTCTTCTGGGTCCCGCCTGATGTGCCTCCTTAGAAGACGAGCCTTTGATAAGTTTTCTTGCTCTGTTCATTATTAGAATTACTTTGGTTAGTGCCTCGTCTACTTCTTGATAAGCTTTGGGCCAAACCAGCATTGTCCATCTGGGTAACTTCCAGTTGGTTGGACCACAATGCCATTATAATGGATGTTGTACTCCCATCCAAAGAGCACCAGTTCGGGACAGTTGGAGAATGTACATGTTGTCTTTGCTGTGATGGGGTAGGAGAAGAGAAAACCCACATAATGCTGAACTGAGTACACAAGTGAACTTCTGAAGTTTTATGATATCCTCAGTCCTTGAAGTTCTGAAGAAACACAGAAATTGTCCCTGAAAGTTTAATGCAAAGCTAAGTAGAAAGTAACATTTGTTGCCCAGTGGCTGATGAAAAATCACTTTGTTTAAATAATGGAATCAGTAGTTTTATTTATTATGCGTTCATAACTAAGTGCAGTACAGACATAGACTTTTTAAAAAAGAGTTCAAAAAATGATATAGTGAATGGAAATCTTTATTACAGTCCAAGATCAGTAGATAATAAAAGTCAGTAATATGAAACAGATTACACATATGTACAGAAAGGCACCAATATATATAATTGATAGGTGCAATTATAATTACATAATATAAAAGAAGAACCCCTTAAATTAAATGGTCCACGACATGTAATTGTGTGTGTGTGTGTGTATATATATATATATATATCAAAGTAATACAGTACAAAAGCATTATAAAATATCCACAGCTCATTGTATTAGTAAATTCAGAACTGAGAGAAAGTCTATATAGTCACACAAGATGTACACATTTAGATTATATAAAATAAACTTACCTTGGAATACTATGCTTTTATGTAACGTTATGCCCCCGCAAAAGCCATGCGTCAACCTAAAATCAATATTGTGCCTTGAAAAACCAAGCTATGCAAAATAAGAGGTATAGATTTGCAACAACAGACAAATGGGAAAGCTGCGTTTTCCCCAATGCATCGTTTTCTGGGTATTTATTTTCCTGAATGTGAAGGAATACACAGAATTTTGCTTTTGGGGAATATTTGCTGGTTGCTGGCTACTCCCAAGTAACCAGTGTCATGGGAATGAACATGGTAAATACTTAAGGGCTGGTGTTCCTCCACCACTGTCCATCCTCCCAGCTGCCTGCTGTTGGCTAAATTCTTATATTTGGATTCCTATAAAAAGGCAGGGATCCAGTGGAGCAAATAAGTTAATTAGCTATTGACAGTGTTTTTCTCTCTGCTTTTCTCTCTTTTCCTTCTACAGCAGGTTCTCCAGAGTATCACTCAGCTTCACAGCTTGCTGGGCTTATTACAGGTAAGCGCTGAGAAAGAGGCAGGGAAAATGTCTCTTCTAATGTGATCAAGCTGATGCAGTCTAATATTTCAGCTGAATAAGACACAAGAGATGCAACATCTAAAGCTGGAGCCTCCAACCAGAAGCTTTCAGGGCTGCATATGTTCTCCAGAACCCTTGAGCCCTGAGAAAGTTTTGCTGAATTGCAATCTTGGATGGGGATGCTTTGGCTCAGTGACTAAGACGCTGAGCTTGTCAATCAGAAGGTCAGCAGTTCAGCGGTTCGAATCCTTAGTGCCGCATAACGGGGTGAGCTCATGTTACTTGTCCCAGCTTCTGCCAACCTAGCAGTTCGAAAGCATGTAAAAAATGCAAGTAGAAAAATAGGTACCACCTTTGGTGGGAAGGGAACAGTGTTCCGTGTGCCTTTGGCGTTGAGTCATCCCAGCCACATGACCACGAAGACGTCTTCGGACAGTGCTGGCTCTTCGGCTTTGAAAGGGAGATGAGCACAAGGAACCTTTACCTTTAATCTTGGATGAATCAGACAGGAAACTCATGAAAGACGAGGAAAGAAATTAAATTAACTCTAATTAGTTAATTGAACTTCAAGGAGGCACATGGTATTTTTGGAATGAGGTCCTTCCCATGCTACTCAAAGACTAAGTGTGGTTCTGAATTAAAGGAAGGGAAAAAACAAGTTGCTTGCGTATTATTCAGGTTTCTGGATGCCTGTATATAAATATATCAGCATGCCAACAAAAGGCTTACAAACCTCATTGTGGTATTGGAAACTTAAAATTAACAGTCCAGACAAGTAGTGATCTGTTATCACTGACCTTATGATTCCTCATAAGAAGAGCCATGTCAAAGTCATGGAAAGAGCCCTCATTCCAGGGTCAATGAAATATAGGAGCTCCTGTAGAGGAAGGAAGGTCTTAATATTGTACTGGAGAAAGATAGCATTGGCACTGAGATTTGTGTTTATGCAGCCTCATACAAAGCTCACAATCAAAGATAGCAATAACACTTAGACTTATATAACACTCTATAGTACTTTACAGCACTCTCAGGGTGGTTTATAGTATCAGCATATTGTCCCCAACGATCTGGGGTCCTCATTTTACCGATCTCGGAAGGATGGAAGGCTGAGTCAACCTTTGTTCTGATCTAGGCTTCCTTTAAAAGCATGAAGCAGAGTCTCAGTCCCGGCAAAACCCCGTTTATTTACACGACTGTGAATTCCTTTCATTCACAGTCAGCAAGGCCTGGCAAACAGTTTTTCAAAGGAATATTTATCAACACAAACCTTATCTCGCTTGGAAAGCTGCCGGATAACTAGTTTCCAAACGTAGTGTGAGGCAAAACTTGGCACAGAGTCTCTTAGAGTCACAAACAGAACTTTCCACTCTTGGAAACGACTGACCGAATGAATTATTTCCTGCAAAAGCCCCCTCCCCGTTCACTCCTCTTTTGTTTCCTGTGAGAGGAGCCAAGCATCTCCAAGGTGTGGCTTTACTCCCGAGTCGACCCTGCTTTCTTAGTTGTTCTTGTCTTCTGGCAGCTCTGCGCATGCGCATACTGGGAACAGGCTCCAGCTGTTCCTCTGCCTCACTGCTGTCTACCTCCCTCTCTGCCTCCGACACAGAGCCCTCGTCTGAACTTTCCCCAGCCCCCAGGACTGACCCATGTTCCTTCCCATTGTCCTTACTGTCCGACTCTGCTGCCAGCTCCGCTGGCCTCCAGCTGGCCACAACAACCTTGAGCCCGTCAGGATTGAACTCCAGATGGTGGGTAGAGTTAGCCTACAATACTGCATTCTTACCACTGTGCCACCAAGCGCCAGCAGTCAAAGATGTAGGTCCCAAATGGTCCCAGCTGTTATGATTTGAAATAGACCTATTGACTTGTATGGTTTAGAATGATTTGCAGTACATCCAATTTGGCAAGGCGTTTAATTTTTTCTGTTTAATTCTGCGGCTCTTCTGTAAAGCCAATGCCTCTCTTATGGGGATTGATTCTCACAGGAATATTCTTCGCAGGAATATTAGCTCTAGTTTTGTGCTGCAAGCAATTAGCCTAACAGAAAGTCTCATCTCCATTTTTGCAGGCTGTTGTTGTGCAACAGGACACCTACATTGAAGACCAGAAGCTGCTGCTCACCGAGAGGGCCTTGAGCCGCATCTCCTTCCGACCCAACTCCTTGATTGAGCAGGAAAAGCAACGCAGCCTGGAGAAACAGCGGCAAGAGCTCGCCAACCTGCAGAAGCAGCAAACCTTGCACCAGGAGGAAAGGAGGAAGAAAGAGAAGGAGTGGGAGGCCAGAGAGAAAGAGCTCACTGAGCGGGAATCTCAGCTGGGCCAGAGGGAAGAGCAGATCCAGAAAGGGCAACACAGTCTGGAGAAGGAGCGGGAAGAGCTGCAGCAGAAGAAAGCGGCCTATCAACTCGATCTGGAACGTCTCCGGACGGCCCAGAAGCAACTGGAGAAAGAGAAGGAGCAACTGAAGAGGGAAATGGAGCAAATATCTCAACCCCAGATGGAACCCAATGTCAAACCGGTAATTGGCTTCTTTTGCACCTGTACGTTTTTCTGGCGTTAAACGAAGGAGGCTGGTGGAAGATCTGAAGTTGCAGAGGTTCTAGATCACTCGTTTTCAGATTATGTTTGTGGACCCTTCTGTTCAACCCATTGAGGTGTCTCCTTCAGAAGATCAGTAATGCTTTTCTTCCACGACTTCATGTGCCGCAGTCCTGATTTTCTTGTGTAGTACACGATCCCAGATAGGAATTCTCAAGTCACTTCTATTCGATTCTGGAAGCCACATTTTTTTTTTAATCTAAGCGATCTTATCCATGTTGTGATGTTCTCTGATTTTTTCCTTATGTATGTAGTAGCCATAGTACCAGGGGTGAAATGTTCCTGGTTCAGACCGGATCGCACAATCCAGTTGCGATGGCGGCGGGTGGTTCGGAGAACTGGTAGCAAAAATCCCTGCCCCCCCCATTGCCCAGCTGAGTCGCGCGATCATCAGAGGCTTTTTCTTTTTACTTTTAAAAGCATTTTTTTCTACAACCCCTTCGGCAGAAAAAATGCTTTTAAAAGAAAAAAAAAGCCTCTGACGATCGTGTGGCTCAGCTGGGATTGTCAGAGGCTTCTAAAAGCATTTTTTTCCTGCAACCTCTTCAACCGAAGAGGTTGTAGGGGAAAAAAATGCCTTTAAAAGCCTTTGGCGATCCCAGCTGAGTTGCCTGATCGTCAGAGGCTTTTAAAAGCATTTTTTTCTGTAACCTCTTGAGGTTGTAGAAAAAATGCTTTTAAAAGTAAAAAAAAAAAAGTTGGCCACACCCACCCAGTCACATTAACCCCCCCAAGCCACACCCACAGAACTGGTAGTAACAAATTTTACATTTCACCACTGAATAGTACCGCAACTATTACAGTGGATGTCTGCAGGGGAATGTATCTTTTCACTGATAGCACCCTGACCGACCAGATGAAGACTTCCTATTATTATTCAACATTGGCTTGGTTTTCTTGTGGTGTTTTAATCTATGATTACTATTACTTATTGCTGCTTTTATTGTTTTATTTTTATTTATTTTAACATCAGGATTTTTTAACATGCTTTATAGTGCCAGGGAACAGAGGATGTTAGAGAATTTAGAATAGAAGAACAGAGTTGGAAAGGAGCTTGGAGGTCTTCTAGTTCAACCCCCTGCTTAAGCAAGAAACCCTATGCCACTTTAGACAAATGGTTATCCAACCTCTTCTTAAAAACTTCCAGTGTTGGAGCATTCACAACTTCTGGAGGAAAGTTGTTCCACTGATTAATTGTTCTCACTGTCAGGAAATTTCTTCTTAGTTCTAGGTTGCTTCTCTCCTTGATGAGTTTCCACCCATTGCTTCTTATCCTGCCTTCAGGTGCTTTGGAGAATAGCTTGACTCCCTCTTCTTTGTGGCATTGTACTTTAAACATGTAATAAATACAAGCATGAACAATCAGTTACCATACCTATTTCTTGTTAATCTTGTGTCTTCCAGAATCCCAACCAACATGCCAAAATGAGCAGAACCCCTTCCCTTCTTCCCACAGAGGACTTGCCTTCTAGACAGTTGTGTTCCTCGTTGCCCAAAGGGCACTTGGATACAGAACTTTCTGCCTCGTCCAAAAGGAACAGTCTCTCAAGGACGAATAAAGAGAAGAGCTCTTTTCATTTGATTGGCACTACAACTTCAGGCCAAACCAACAAGCCAACTGAAGGACCTGGGCAGATACCCAACCGCCTGTTTGGCTTAGCCAAGCCGAAGGAGAAGAAGGAGAAGAAGAAGAAGAGCAAAAGGGATCGGTCCCAGACTTCTGGTAAGCATAGAGTGGGCTTGAGGGCGACCTTTAAAGATCGCTCTCTGAAGTGCACAACTAAGGATGGAAACATCTCTTACCAGATTGCTTGCTTGTGGTCAAGATCTGAGTCTTGTCTGCAGATCAGTAGGCAACAAGAGTAGAATAAGCTTGCGGCCTTCCTCAACCGAAAGAGGGACAGTATAGTTGTAAAGCCAAAGTGATTGAATTAATACTGAGACAAAGATTCAAGTCTACCCTCAGTTAGAAGGTCCTTAGCTCTGTTGCAGTGACTAAATATTTGAGATGGCTCCCACATTGACAAAAACTCAGGTCATTTTGCTGTGATAGCATGTACAACTGAAATTTGATGTTTTTGTGGGTTGTTCTGTTTGTGTAGGAGAAGAAATAGCAGGCCTGAGGGCAGAGTCAAAGGAGGAATCAGCCTAGAGTCTCTATGTCCCCACTAATGGTCTAAGTCCAACCTCTCTTGAATTTCATTAACCCTTATTTAACACCAACACAATGCTGACCATTAATTGACTAAATTCCTGTGCATAGGCATATGCCGATTTCTTTCGATCTCTCCCACCTGGGACTTTGTGCACAGGAATGCCCTTTAAGGGCAGCAAGTTTTAGGCATCGCGATTCCAATGAAATCAATGTATTTTGGGGCCGGGGATAGAGATCAATTCATGCAGATCCCACATTTAAATCAAAGAGGTGGGAATATGTAAATAAGTAAACGATCTGTAATTGAGCATTCCAATTCCAGGATAATTTAATTTAATTTAATTTAATTTAATTTAATAAATTAAATCGGATTTAAGAAAAAGTAGAATGTGGGGTGGAGTGAGCTGAATAGGATGGGTATGCAAGACATGATATCAGATAGAGGGAGGTTAGCCTAAGTCCTACTCAGAGTAGTCCAGACAAATAAGAATTCTTACCCTCCCCTGAACTACAGTTATCTAACTTGCAAGTTGGAAGGAGTAAAATTTGACAATAATAGAGATAATGCCATCCAGAGGTGATATTCAGCCGGTTTGGACTGGTTCAGGGGAACAGGTAGTGGAGATTGCGAGTGGGCCCGCCGCCCACCCGCCGCGGTGGCTCTATGCCATCCTATTTAAGCATGTTTTTGAGGCCAGGCGCATGCGCGGAAGGCGAATTGGTGGTAACAAAATGTGAAACCCACCGCTGATGCCATCCCATGTTGGTTTTCCTTTTGAATGTATCAGTGGTGGGTTGCTCCCGGTTCTGTCCGGTTCTTGAGAACTGGTAGTAAAAGCGGCGGGAGGCTCCGCCCACCCACCCTGATGTCATATTTGGAGATCTGCGCATGCACAGAAGCATGTGTGTGTGAGCAAAGCAAGTGCGCACGCACTCCCATTGCAAACCGGTACTAATTTAGAACCCACCCCTGGAATGTATACTTTGTGTTGTGACCCAGGCCCAAGTAGTTAGTATTAAATACAAACAGTTCGAAAACAAACAGACTTTATTAGAACAGCTGAGAATTAATTCATTCTCAGCGTAGTCCAAACTAAATTAAAGCAAATTCTTCGAAACACCATTTCTCAGTTTATCACTGACCTTGGGATAATTAGGCAAACTGCCAAAGGCTTTTCTTGGCAAAAGTTCAGAAGCAGAAGACGCCGACAAGAAATGAATACAGTGAAACAAGAAGCAATTCTCTCAACGTTGTTTTCCGGCAAAGAGGCCCAGAGCCATTGCTGGTCTTTTAAGCCTTATAGGAGGGGCCAATCATCTCTTAGCCCTACTCCTGAGTCGTCCTCTCTGCTTTATCTGCTTCTGCCTTCTCGCAGCTCTTTTCATGCGTGCACAAGGAACAGGCTCCTCCTGTTCCTCTGCCTCTCTATTGTCAGCCTCTCTATTATCAGCCTCTGGAGGCTCTGAAGTCTGCACATCACTCCTCAATGCCTCTGGCCCCATCTCTGCCTCTGACGCAACGCCCTCATCCGGGCCTTCGCCAGCCTCCAGGACTGGCCCATGTTCTTCCTCAGTCTCATCGCTGTCCGACTCCGCTGACAGCTCCGCAGGCTGCTGGCGGACCACAACACTTTGAAGGGTGATCCCAGTGTGCTAATAGAAGCATGAATTTAAAAGGAAAAATAATCTTTGGTTCTAATATGAAGTGAAAGCTTTTGCTGATGCATTTACATTTTTTTCCTTATATAAAAAAGAAGGAAAGTCTGCTGACTGTGGCAATATGCAAAAACGTTTAACTGATTGACCTTGCAATGGACAGCTGTGCAGGATTTGCCAAGGGAAGTGATGGCTAACCTTTTCCAGACTGAGTGGCCAAAGTGCGCACAAACCCCCAAAATGCAATGAACATGTGGCCCCCACCGCATGCGCCCAGTCCCCCATGCACGTGCCCCACTTGCATGCACACATGTCCTCCCCACACACGCCCCACACATGTGCAACAGAGAACCAAAGACCAGCTGGCTGGCCGGAGGCGTGCACACATGTGCAGCAGAGTTGAACTGGGGCGATGGCTCATTGTTCTGTCCCCGTACCACACACGCACCTCCACAGACGGCCCGGAGTTAATAAGCCACACGACAAAACTCTTTGAAGATAAAGCTAGCAACCCAGTGGCTAGCTGCCAATTCAGACTTTACTCACACAAAACAAAGATTAGACTGCAAGAATTCTGATAAAACAGGCAGAGTTTCAACAATACAAGGATTAATCCAAATGCAGTCCGATAAAGCAGGCAAAGTCCAGTAACGCAGAGATCATGGATTATTTCCAGTTTTTGCTTGTCACAAACTGAACTGGCCACCACACCCACATTTATACCCTGTGTGGTGTGGTCCAGTGACTCAGCTAATCTCTGGCACGCCTTCCCCTCTGCTGTGCATGCTTCTCCCTGTGCCTCTATCTTCTTCATCGCTGTCCACCTGTGGCTGGGGGGACGTGCTTGGCTCTGAGCCTATCTTTTGGCCTTCGGTGTCCTCCGGAGGCATTGCCAGAGAGGAGGGTCCTGGAGAGGGAGGCCTTGCCAACTCCTCTCCCTCACTCTCAGAGTCTGCATCTGTCTGCCCAGGCTCAGGCAACGGAGCCACAACACTCATGTGCCATCAGAGAGGGCACTGCGTGCCACCTCTCGCACGCATGCCAGAGATGTGCCATCACGGGCCTAGGGTGAAGGATCATTTCAGATGTAGGGATTCTTCCCAGCCAACCTCCATAAGGGCGGTGACATGGAGATAGATAATTATGGATTTATTGTATCTCTTGTGTTTATCAGTCTGCTTGGTCTTTGTCCATGGAAATGCTAATCTCTGTGGCTTTGTTCCAGAGAACCACAATCCCTTAGAACTCTTCCTTTCTGATTAGGCTTCTGGTAGGATGCAGTTGGTTGCTCAAGTGTACAGCAGTGCATAAGGAAGCCAGGAAATAAAGCAGTCTCTGATGTCTGTTTCTTGTCAGGGTTCCGGATGCCCCAATTAAATCATGAACCTTGAGCCAAACTTCAAAAGAAATCTAGTTATTTATTAGGAGCTTCATGTCGGCGTGTTCCCAAGTAAAGCCAACTCTGACCCCATGTAATGTACGCCCCAATCATGACCCTGTTTCCCCCCTCCCCCCAAGGTGTGTCATCAATCACATTTGCCAACGGAGCAATTTCTCAGATTGTAGAGATGCTCCCCTCCAGCCGCTGTGGATAACCCTGGGAGACAGCCTTGAGAGAGAGATGTCTGGAATGTACGTCTGTCTTTGGCTGCAGTGCTGCTTCGTCGGTTTCCCATCCCCCTTGCCTATGGCAACTCGAGAGCAGGCCAGGGATGCTTTCCGAGCTGACATTGATATTATTTTGATTTCTTTTTCCCCCCCTAGATGCTCACTCTCCAGAAGGAGCACCAGAAAGCGAGGAGATCTTTTGCTGATCCCATGTCTTGTCTCCAGCCAGGCCTCTTCCAGATCTGCCCTACACTGAGAGGCCAAAGAATCGAACAACTATTCTTTATTCTAGACATTGAACTATGTTGGGCTTTATCACCTTTCTCTCCTACACAATCCACTGTCCATTCCCACTTCTGGATCTTCTTGAATACGTCGCATCTGAAAACATGTCCACAAGGGCAGGAGGAGGAAGAGGAGGAGCAACCACATGGAAGAACTGTGGATACGGCCAAATTGGGCAGGCTCAGTTTGGGTTCAATGTGATCTGAAGAGCTCTGATTCTCTGTTGCAATGCTAGCTCGTGACTTGTCTAGGCAGATATTCCTTTCTTTCCTTTTCATCTTGAACAACAGGGAATTTGTGAACAAGGGCAACAAACCTCACCTTCTCTTAGGAAACCACCACCAAAATCAAAAACCTTCTATAGTTTGGGGGGGGGGAATGTGACTCTTTACCCAGTGTTTCTACACTGGTCTATATAGATGTAATGTATACCCACGTCTACACGTACTTAACTCAATATAGAGATATATATACACACACACACAAATAAATGTAGCTCCATATCCTTTGGATATGCCGTATGTCTGTACAGAAAAACTAAGGAACTTTTAGACCTATCCTAATGGGGTTGGCAGATACCTGAGTGTAACTGTTCAGGGATTGATTGGGTCAAGGGCTACATAGGGCTTGGTTTGAGTTGCAAAGTTGGCCTGCATCAAGATCATAGGGACTGTTTTGAAGTGGAAGGGCCCCTTAAAGCAAGATTCCTGGGGAATGGTTGAAGCATATTGCCAAGAGGCAGAAAAAGAAAGAAAAGAAAAGAAATATAAAATGGATTGGATTGGAACCAACGCGTGGTTGGAGATTGGAGAGGTGAAACGGGGCCGTTGTCGGAAATTAGAAAAACCCACTCTAAGAGTCATCTCGGAAGAGTTAACAAAGGAAAAACTGAAATCGCCTTGAATTTCCATGGAATTGTGAGGTACATCCTAACTGCCTCTATGGGATCTGTCTACCTAGGAAGAAGCAACACCCATTGAGTTGGCAATGCAGTTGAAGAATCTGAAGAAGATACAGACTCAAACTGAATTCGTTGTTCCTGTTTCCCCGGCTTCTCCTCCCAAACACTCCTGTACACATTTTCTCCCGATGTCATTGTATCGTCTCGCTAGAAACTATGTTGAGGAAGTGGGTGACTGTAATCAGGGTGAAAGAGTTGTGATAGAAGAAGTACAATTATATTGGCTGGGTAGAATTTTTTTCACATGGATTAAAGAGACACACACACCTCCATACCCTTGAACGTAACTTTCCAGATTGGATAGATTCGTTGCTTTAAGAACGGTAGAATTCCCATCTCAATGCTATCATCTTTTTGGGGTGAGGACAAACTATCATTTTTGAGGTGGCGATTGCCAGGAGTTGAAAAATGTATGTAAATGTACAGACACCCCAAATCTATTTGCTGCAAACCTACTCCTCCCAATTGCTCCTTTATTAAGACTGGCCTTAATTCATGGGTAGAGAAAAAATGATCTCTTTTGATTTATCCAAGGGCAACCATCAGGCCTTCATCCGCGATCAACACATAAAATGTATATTTGGTTTTTTTTGCATATGTGAATAGTCATCAATCGGTTTCAGAAAATAAGTCCTCTGAATTTGGTCTCCTCGGCATGGAATGTAAGGAAGTGCTTTGCTTCTGTTTCCCCACCTGCAAATGGATATTATGGATGGTCTCCTCATCTGCTAGATGGGGAATGTCTTTCTTGTAGACCTCCTTTCCATGCATTTTTGTTTAGAAAAGCATGTGGATGCTTTGCTCCAGGCAAAGGGAGCAGGGGAGAAAATGGATCGTTTCCCTTGAATCATTCACACCAACGGTAGATGCTATTGTCAGGCCTGCCTTCCTTCCTTCCTTCCTTCCTTCCTTCCTTCCTTCCTTCCTTCCTTCCTTCCTTCCTTCCTTTCCCCCCAAGTCTAACCCTGTAGGATCATCTGGCCCATTTTAGTACATAGTAGGGAGTTCTATCCCGGCCGAGGAATTTAAATTTAATCTCCTCTTCTTCTCCTCTCACATTAAGTGACAAACGGCAAGGAATTCTGGCGTGGTGAGAAAGGAGAGATTGGAAGAACCAATAAGCAGCTCCGTTTGATGATTTGGGATGAGTACAGAAGGACATCCTTGCGCTGCAAACCCATTCTTCCCCATGTCGCCCAGAGATTATCCCGATAGGCTGAGCGAATAGCCAAGAAATCTGTTTAGCTTTAAAGCTTGAGGGGGAGGGACCATTTTTAGTTATCCCACTCCTTCAAAGAAGGTTTTGCACTATTGTTCCACCCTCGTGTTCTCTCTCTTAGAACATCTCCAGAGCCATTTTCACACATCGCCCAATATTTGCAAAAACCAGGAAAAAAAGGAGGAGGAAAAAAAAAAACTTTTAATGAATGTGCCTTTACATATGTAGATAATCTCTGGGGACCTGGCTGAATCTGATGTTCTCTAAAAAGAAATTCACGCTGTCCAAAAACAAAGCCAGAGGCAGCTAGAAGAATTTTATTTGTTATATTTTTTTTTAATTTTTATTACCACAATTGTTATATGTGATATTTGTTCTCAGTTGCAAGCTGGGCTTGCGTTGGAAAAAATATATATATATCTTTCTGTTTGTTTGAAAGAAGTCTGGATTTTTAAAAATGACAAAATGTTTACTTGGGATTGTCTGTTTTTGCTTTATTTTTAAGCTGGGCTTATGAAGCCCAAAGAATGTTTGTTTGTGTGTGTGTGTGTGTGTGTGTGTGTTAGGGTGTATCCGTGCTTCTTCTTTTTTGTTGTTGTTGTTACTACTTATGTAAATATATCATGGGATTATTGATGTGCTATTTGAATAAAACCAGCATTAAATGCTATCAACCACTGCTAGGAAAGAACCTGTAACGTTCAGCATCTCTTGGCCAAAGGAAACTTAAGATGCTAAGACGGGTGGCTGGCTCTTTGCAGAAAAACAAAACTGGAGTCAGTTCACACCGTGTGAATGCTTACTCCACTGTCATGGGTGCTAAAGAGGAATGGCAGGTTTTGAAAAAAAAAGCACTTCATAACTGCCAAGGAACATCTCTGTTGCACCAAACACTCTTGAGTTTGACGAATCTACTTCTTCCTGCAATGGAATTCAATCTTAAATTTTGAAGAGAGTTTAGTTTAATTTAATCTTGCGTTCTTCCTCTCTGCAATGCACCATGTGAGCGCAGAGAGACGCAAGATGGAGGAAAGAGAAAAAAAAGACGCCAGTGGATGCCGAAAGCTCTTAGCCAAAATCTCCGCTGCCATTCTTTCTTTTTCGTCACAGAGAGACCACGTATAACCCGATCGAGATGGATTTATGTATTTCAAGGAAATCTGTGGGTATTATGAGTTCTTTATATCTTGTTCATTTCCTGTCCAGCTAGATTACAGTTGGTTACTGTGATGAGTTCTTTTTTTTTTGGCAAGGATTGTGTGCCCTAGCATCACAAATTATATGACAATGCATTGCTCTCATTTGAGTTCCTCCCGCTTCTTCCCATAGGCTTTTGAGAAGGTACCAAGTTGCGTGTTTCCTATTGAAATATATCTCGAAAAGGAAAAAGAAAAACCTTTAAAAATAAAAAAAAATGTACATCAGTGGAGAATCAAAAGGAAAAAAAACTGTTATATATTCATTTGTAATTATGTAAAAAAAATATAAGTTAGGTTTATGATTGTAAATTTTTAATTTCCCATGCTGTAATTTGCAAAATGAAAAAAAAAAGATTTTTCATAATCTTTTATTTATCTACCTTTCTTGCTACGGAAAAACAACTCTTGTAAAAAGTTAAATTTCCCTACCCCTTTAAAATAAATGTTGATTCTAAGTCAGATGAGTTTTTGCTTACTGGCCTCTGTATCTCTGTGTCTCTCTGTGTGTTGTTTTCTCACCCTTCGTTTTCAGATTGAAACTGTTGGATTAAAAAAAAACAACCCCAAGGAATAAACTGCTTTATTTCGTACACAGAACAGAAGAAGGAAGCCCTGTGTGGTGACAGAAGAAATGTAAATATGTTTTTGTGCTGCACTGAATAGAGATGTAATCCCTCCCCACCCCCAAAAAAATTGAATTGAATTGAAAGAAAAGAGAATCTAAGAGGTTGAGGGGTAGGGGAGTCAGTACCTTTGGGAAATACTGAAATATAGATAGTTGGTTTGGAATAGGAATAGGAATAGGAATAGGAATAGGAATAGGAATAGGAATGGATTGGAATGGAATGGAATGGAATGGAATGGAATAGAATAGAATAGAATAGAATAGAATAGAATAGAATAGAATAGAATAGAATAGAATAGAATAGAATAGAATAGAATAGAATTCTTTATTGGCCAAGTGTGATTGGACACACAAGGAATTTGTTTTTGGTGATACATTTGTCAAGAATCATAAGGTACAACACTTAATGATAGCCATAGGGTACAAATAAGCAATCAAATCATACTAGGAAACAATATAAATTGTAAGGATACAAGCAACAGAGTTACAGTCATACAGTCATAAGTGGAAGGAGATGGGTGGTGGGAACGATGAGAAGATTAATAGTAATGCAGACTTAGTGAATAGTTTGACAGTGTTGAGGGAATTATTTGTTTAGCAGAGTGATGGCGTTCAGGAAAAAACTGTCCTTGTATCTAGTTGTTCTGGTGTGCAGTGCTCTATAGCGTCGTTTTGAGGGTAGGAGTTGAAACAATTTATGTCCAGGGTGCGAGGGGTCTGTAGATATTTTTACAGCCCTCTTTTTGACTCATGCAGCATACAGGTCCTCAATGGAAGGCAGGTTAGCTGTCCCTCCCAACAGATGTAAATAAATGGATACTTCTTCCAATATCTATTCCATTCTCCGTGTTTTAAAGGAGCAAGAACAACCTCTCTACTCAGTCAAGGAAATTAGACAAGTCTATAAAGAAGAACTTGGGGGGCAGGGGGAAGTCACTCTGGAGAAAGAAATGTTTTCTAGCTTTCAGAGTTACACCACACAGAATCCTTGGGAATTCTATAATGGCAATAAATTGTCTTATGTAATCTGTTTTCACCTTGTTCCATAACTTTGTTACAGAGTAAAAGCTGCAGCCTGTGAACACTTTTCTTAACATCAGAGAACATTTAGGAGAAAATATTGAGATGAGTCATCTATTTTCCCCACCCGACCTGCCTAGAATGTTTCTCTTTCTCCCCCATCTCTGGCATTGAATCAGGAAGAGGTGAGGGATTTTCCTTGCTTTTTACATATAGATAAAATGATCTGTAAAATTAAAATGTAAAAAGGGACAGAGTGGCTCAGTGGCTAAGACGCTGAGCTTGTTGATCAAAAGGTTGGCAGTTCAGCAGTTCGAATCCCTAATGCTGTGTAAAGGGGTGAGCTCCCGTTACTTGTCCCAGCTTCTGCCAACCTAGCAGTTCGAAAGCACGTAAAAAATGGGGGACCACCTTTGGTGGGAAGGTAACAGAGTTCCATGCGCCTTTGGCATTGAGTCATTCTGGCCACATGACCATGGAGGCGTCTTCGGACAGCGCTGGCTCTTTGGCTTTGAAACGGAGATGAGCACCACCCCCTAGAGTTGGGAACGATTAAACATATGTGCAAGGGGCAACATTTACCTTTTAAAATAATCTGTGTCACAATGTCTTCCTTCCATCCAGGGGAGCTATTCAGCAGGTTCTGATAGGTTCTGGAAAACTGGTAGCGGACATTTTGAGTAGTTCGGAGAACTGGCAAATACCACCTCTGGCTGGCCACAGAATGGGGAGGGAATGGGGATTTTGCAGTATCCTTCCCCTGGAGTGGGGTGGGAATGGAGATTTTGTGGTATCTTTCCCCTGCCACGCCCACCAAGCCACACCCACAGAACCAGTAGTAAAAATATTTGGATTTAAACCACTGTGTTACCTAAATTGCTATTGAAACATCTGCAAGAAACACAACCAAGCTCAGAGAGTACCAAGGACCTTGCATTCCAACCCTGAGCTATAAATATTCTCTTCTATCACTATCATTTTTTTTCTCCAGGATGGGAACATTTTGAGACTAGCCTATAATTGGACAAGGGAGGTTTCTTCCTAGCCTGAGTAAGATCTGGTTATTGCCTCTTTCAGCCAGGAGTGGAGAAGAAAACACTTATCATCAATCATGTTGGCTGCCTATCTCCATATTGCACAGAGCCAGCAGTATTATTCACAAAAAAAATAAATAAAGAAAAGAAAATAAAGAAAATTTCCCAAGGGCATTGAAGGAACCCTCCAGAAAGTTCAGGCACCCGGATTGGATTATTTTAGGTGTCCTTGATGCTTGCTTGAACTTGGTTGTTTTCTTGCAGATATTTCATGACCCAAACTAGGTAACATCTTCTGCACTAAACGTCTTATGGAGAGTCTCAGTCATCCAGGTCATGGCTGTCCCAAAGGTGCTTTTTTCTTTTTTTATAAAAGTTTTTTTATTTTTATTTCTCATAAAACACATATAAATGCACAATCTCTTTAACCGTTCTTATCACACATACCCTGTTTCCCCAAAAATAAGACATCCCCTAATAATAAGCTCAATCGGACTTTTGAGCGCATGCACTAAAATAAGCCCCCCCTGAAAATAAGCCCTCCCTGAAAATATTTAAACGCATGTGCAGCCAGTCCCTGCCATTTCCTCAGGTTAGGGTTAGGGAGACAGAGCTGGAAATCAGGTAAGACGGCAAGAGGAGCCCCGTCTTGCTCCACATGCCCCGAAATAATAAGAGCTCTCTGAAAATAAGGCCAAGCGCTTATTTCGAGGTTCAAAAAAATATAAGGCAGGGTCTTATTTTTGAGGAACACGATATTATCTTTGGATTTCCATATTGGTTCATTCTTCATCCTAAAACTTTAAAATACATTCGGAGTTGCTCTTTTACCATTCCGTATCTCTCTTCTTCCACAATCCTTCCTCTCCTTCTCCCCTTTCCCTTCCCTTCCTTCTTCTATTCTTTTCCACTTTCTTCTTTCCTCTTCTCCTTCCCCTTCCTTTCCCCCACTCCTCCCCTCTTCCTCTTTCTAACCTTTTCTCCTACTCTTATTTCCCTTCCCTTTCTTCCTCTCCTTTTCCCTTTCTTCTCTCTCTCTCTTTTCCACCCTTCTCCTCTCTCCTTCCTACCTGTCCCTCTACTCCTCTCTCCCTTCCCTCTCCGTTGTTGTGTCCATTTTCAATTCAATATATTTGTCAAGATGGTATTCAAGCAACCCCGATCTTACATTTACCCACATTTTCCTTTCAATTTCTTTTCTATTTTGCTGGTTAGACATATATCATCCTTAACGTACATTTATATAGTACCTCTTTTTTCAAGTGAAAAACAAAGGTGCTTTTTCATGAGGCAACTGGACTTCCTGGTTTTTCCTTTGAAGACATTTTGCTACTCATCCAAGAAGCTCCTTCAGCTCTGACTTTCCCCACCATCCAGTCAGAGCTGAAGAAGCTTCTTGGATGAGAAGCGAAATGTCTGGAAGGAAGAACAAAGAAAGTCCAGTCGCCTCTTGAAAAGGCACCTTTGGGATATCCTTAGTACTTAATTTGGGTAATGCAACATCTGTAAGAAAACAGTCAAGCTCAGAGAGCACCAAGAATCCCCTCATCTCAACCCCCGAGCTACAAATATTCTCCTTTATTGAATTGTTTCCATTGGTTCTTCAGCTCTGCAGAGAGCTACATACTTGGCCTTTGGTGTGTAAAACAGAGTAGTTTGTTTGTGAGCGACATAAAGAGGCATCACTCTAAAGAGACCCGGTAAGCCCACGACATGTCAAAAACACAAACCATGAAAAAGTGATTTATAAACACATTGCCAGCTATCTAGCAAGGAAAGCTGTTTTTAACAGCGTGTGAAATAGTCACCAGACAGTAGTTGTCTCCCACTGCTTTCCCAAGGCCGTCAATCCCTGGCTTTTCTTCTTTAAACAGAGATTACTGAAAGGGAGAAAATGAGCATGAAAAATACCATTCTGTTCCCAGCTTTTCCACATCATTCTTTTACAGCCTGTCTAGTCAGACCTTGGGAAGTTTGCAGTTTTAAATCAGAATCGTGTGAATCGATGCATTTCCACCCTTATCATTTATTCTCAGCGGTGCCTGTTCTTTCATTATTTCCCCCCACCCCCCGTTTTCTACAGTTAATGAGACTCCAACTTAGATGGGAGGCTTCAAAGATAATAGCAGTGACTGGGAGAGGGATCTTGGAGTCTTAGTGGACAACCAGCTAAATATGAGCCAGCTGTGTGCAGCGGCAACCAAAAAAGCCAATGCAATCTTAAATTGCATTAACAGAGGGATACAATCAAGATCAAGGGAGGTACTAATACCACTCTATAAAGCCTTCGTAAGACCACACCTAGAATACTGCATCCAGTTTTGGTCACCACTCTATAAAAAAGATGTTGAGGTTCTAGGGAAGAGAAATGGAATGACCCAAGTCTTTTAGTTCTGCAGCTGTTCTAATGTGAAACGAAGATTGAAGGATGGCTTCTATTAACTGGGTTTTATTGCTGGGTCACTTCTGACTAACAAGTTTCTTTTGTCGGCTCCATAGATTTTCTTTCTTTTCTTTTTAATTTTCAAAAACCTTTATTAAAATTCAAAATATTAAAATACTAATACAAATATTGTAACAAATATTTTGTTACAAATACTGTAACAAAAATATGTCCATGATAGTTGTACAATTCAACATCGTTCCAACACTACACAAATCTTAACTCTATTCATGTATTCTCAGATATTCCTTCTTGATTGAATATATGTAAACACAATTTATGTCTTATTTTGATCTATATTACTCAACCGGGGAAAACTGGTATCAATGGATAGAAAATAAA